ATGTCGTTTCACTTAGATAGATAAACACTTGTATATTCTAATCACCTTAAATTTCACTTGAGTGCTTGCCTTTTAGTGCACATATAGGTGATATATGGTGAAATTCTAATAACATTTGTAATCTGATTCTTTCTCTAGAAGAGAGCAAAAAGAACACTTTCTAGGTTTGTTGTTTTGCAAATGCATACTCAGAAAACAGAATATGTCATGAAAGATACACATCATCAAAACCAACAAAAAGCTTTTAAAAAGTAGGAGGATAATCCAAACAAATGCCACAGATTTTCTCTTTTGCAAAGGGGAATAAGAAACGTTTTGTGGGCAATACAGCATATGTAAGAGTGAAAGCGATATGTGATTGATAATAAAACCAAACAATAAACTAGCAAAACATAATCACTAACTAAGGAATGTCTCAAAGGAATGTCCCTAGTTACGCTATCACAAGTTTCTGCATTTGAGTCGAGATCCATTTTGACTGATGCACGTGGTTGATTGGTGATTAATAACTAACTAAGGGATGTCTCATGTTACGCTATCACCATGTTCTACATTCAAGTCTCCTAAGAGGCATTTTGGTTGACCAGATACGCGTGATTTATTAGTGATCTCTAAAAATCTTAGAGTGAAGCGTTGACGGTTTTCAAGTATCCAAAAAATAAAAGTATGATTGAAAGTAGCAATCATAGGTGCTCATGCTTATGCATACCTTGAACCATGAAGGCACATTGCTCTTGTACCCAGTTGCTAAAATTATAGAATCAAACTCTCTTTCTTGTCCATCCATGAACTTGGCCCCTTTTCTTGTTATCTCTCTCACACCTTCCATTACCTGCAACCTTAACTCCATTAGAAACAAGTTGCACTTTTAACGGATTAAAAATAAAAGTGAAAAACACAAGGGCATGTTTGCTTACCTTGATGTTTCCGGATTTTATTTGCGATAAAGCTCCAACATCAAGCACTGGGGTCTTTCCTGTGGCATTTTTTAGCTCAATTGGACCAGTCTTGGGCCTGTGAAGACCTAACCTATCTGTGTTTCCGAGAGTGAAATTTGCCATCAACAAGAGAAGCTTGTCCACTAATCTTAAAGGTATCCATTTGAGCAGTGCCATAGCTATTCCAAATGTTGATAGTCCAAACATTTCCCTAGGAAGAATATGAATCTGAATATAACAAAAAAATGGATAGTTATTAGCAAAATCGAAAATTTACAGAAGAATTTTCTTAATTCATGCTAAAAGGAGATGAATATAAAGAAACCCTATATCAAACTTTATTCTTTATTGGAAAAGAACTAAACGTAAGCATATCTGAAACTTACCCACATGAATTAATTTTAAGAAATATAAGAAAATAGGTGATTTTCATTGAAAAAACACTAATTTCAGAAAATACCCAGATGAAAAATGTAGCAGAAACTTGCATTTAAACAAAATACACAGTTCACACACACACCACACACACACACACACACACACACATATATATATATATATATATATATAGAGAGAGAGAGAGAGAGAGAGAGAGAGATGTACTTACAGTACTTCTAACCACCATGTGAGGGCTGGCATTGTATCTACAGAGGTCTAAGCTAACTTCCATACCAGAATTTCCACACCCCACCACCAAAACCCTCTGGTGTTTGAATTCAGAACCAGACCTATACCCACTTGTATGCACCACAGGGCCTTCAAACCTCTCACTCCCAGGAATTTCTGGTATTTTTGGTTCAGCATTTTCTCCAGTAGCAACTATTATCCACCTAGAAACATACTCAAAATTTTGAGTTTGAACCCTCCAGACCCCACTAACTTGATCAAACTCGGCTCTCTGTACCACTTGCTTGAACTTAGGCTCATGAGCCTAAGTTCAAGCAAGTGGTACAGAGAGCCGAGTTTGATCAAGTTAGTGGGGTCTGGAGGGTTCAAACTCAAAATTTTGAGTATGTTTCTAGGTGGATAATAGTTGCTACTGGAGAAAATGCTGAACCAAAAATACCAGAAATTCCTGGGAGTGAGAGGTTTGAAGGCCCTGTGGTGCATACAAGTGGGTATAGGTCTGGTTCTGAATTCAAACACCAGAGGGTTTTGGTGGTGGGGTGTGGAAATTCTGGTATGGAAGTTAGCTTAGACCTCTGTAGATACAATGCCAGCCCTCACATGGTGGTTAGAAGTACTGTAAGTACATCTCTCTCTCTCTCTCTCTCTCTCTCTCTATATATATATATATATATATATATGTGTGTGTGTGTGTGTGTGTGTGTGGGTGTGTGTGTGAACTGTGTATTTTGTTTAAATGCAAGTTTCTGCTACATTTTTCATCTGGGTATTTTCTGAAATTAGTGTTTTTCAATGAAAATCACCTATTTTCTTATATTTCTTAAAATTAATTCATGTGGGTAAGTTTCAGATATGCTTACGTTTAGTTCTTTTCCAATAAAGAATAAAGTTTGATATAGGGTTTCTTTATATTCATCTCCTTTTAGCATGAATTAAGAAAATTCTTCTGTAAATTTTCGATTTTGCTAATAACTATCCATTTTTTTGTTATATTCAGATTCATATTCTTCCTAGGGAAATGTTTGGACTATCAACATTTGGAATAGCTATGGCACTGCTCAAATGGATACCTTTAAGATTAGTGGACAAGCTTCTCTTGTTGATGGCAAATTTCACTCTCGGAAACACAGATAGGTTAGGTCTTCACAGGCCCAAGACTGGTCCAATTGAGCTAAAAAATGCCACAGGAAAGACCCCAGTGCTTGATGTTGGAGCTTTATCGCAAATAAAATCCGGAAACATCAAGGTAAGCAAACATGCCCTTGTGTTTTTCACTTTTATTTTTAATCCGTTAAAAGTGCAACTTGTTTCTAATGGAGTTAAGGTTGCAGGTAATGGAAGGTGTGAGAGAGATAACAAGAAAAGGGGCCAAGTTCATGGATGGACAAGAAAGAGAGTTTGATTCTATAATTTTAGCAACTGGGTACAAGAGCAATGTGCCTTCATGGTTCAAGGTATGCATAAGCATGAGCACCTATGATTGCTACTTTCAATCATACTTTTATTTTTTGGATACTTGAAAACCGTCAACGCTTCACTCTAAGATTTTTAGAGATCACTAATAAATCACGCGTATCTGGTCAACCAAAATGCCTCTTAGGAGACTTGAATGTAGAACATGGTGATAGCGTAACATGAGACATCCCTTAGTTAGTTATTAATCACCAATCAACCACGTGCATCAGTCAAAATGGATCTCGACTCAAATGCAGAAACTTGTGATAGCGTAACTAGGGACATTCCTTTGAGACATTCCTTAGTTAGTGATTATGTTTTGCTAGTTTATTGTTTGGTTTTATTATCAATCACATATCGCTTTCACTCTTACATATGCTGTATTGCCCACAAAACGTTTCTTATTCCCCTTTGCAAAAGAGAAAATCTGTGGCATTTGTTTGGATTATCCTCCTACTTTTTAAAAGCTTTTTGTTGGTTTTGATGATGTGTATCTTTCATGACATATTCTGTTTTCTGAGTATGCATTTGCAAAACAACAAACCTAGAAAGTGTTCTTTTTGCTCTCTTCTAGAGAAAGAATCAGATTACAAATGTTATTAGAATTTCACCATATATCACCTATATGTGCACTAAAAGGCAAGCACTCAAGTGAAATTTAAGGTGATTAGAATATACAAGTGTTTATCTATCTAAGTGAAACGACATGGGTTCAAATCCA